TATAATTAAAATATTTCTTTGGTATACGTGGTTTTTAGCTTTTATCTTTGCCATCTTATTTGTATTTTGTATTCAAATTTATCAGTATACGTTATAAATAATAGTATAATATAAAAATTATAAAAATTTCGATTCATTTGTGATTAAATTTCCTTTTTTAAGAATTTTAAAACTATACAGTTTAAAAATAAAACAGTGGCAGAGTTATTAATAATTGTTACAGCAATTTATTATTTCATTCTATTTCAGGCGTGGAACATTTTTGTACTTCGATAAATCCGATTAATAGTTTTATCCGAACGTTAGAACGTATTAATTACCAACGAAGCAAAACAATCAACTGCAAGTTACACTATTGCTCGATATATATCGTACGAACATTCTGCAATGCACCAATTTCTCTGCTCGAGAGTTATTCCAACGCGCAATTCACAAAATTTATTGAGCGACGCATTGTTATAACGCGGTAGCGAATAAATTGCTCGGTGGGTAGTCGAAAACAAGTGATGGAGTAACGAACAGAAAGTATCAATTTCGCCCCTTTTTTTTACGTTGTCGAGTAACAAACTGACTGTACATGCATATCGCAAACGTGCATGTTCGACGGTATGACAGTCGCGACTTCGTTCTACTTGCATTCCTTTCCATTTGTATGTTTACGCCAGGTTGTTGAGCAACAATGAACTGGACAAGATCAAAGCGGACGGCCTTTTTGAGAAGTTGCCGGAGCTACAGCATCTGGATCTCAGAAAAAATAAAATCTCCCGCATCGAGGCGTCCGCCTTTCAAGGGGCTCACAACCTCACCGACCTGTAAGTCACTACAAGTTTCGAATTATACCGCTTTCGTAGCATAGCCCCTGTTTCTTCTTTGCGACATTGTCGTCGTCATCGCCGTTGTCTTTCTGGAAAACTTCACTTTTGCCGGCACAATAGAAGCCATTCTAGAAATACCGTTGTGTAACGCCAGGATTATTTTCTTTGCGTGGTTTTCTTCTATAGTTGATATTTCCAACTTTAGAAAATCTCTCTCGAGGAATTTTCGAAGACCGCATTGTCTCCGAAGACAATTATTAAAACAATACCGGTTTTTCAAAGACTTGAGCGGTATAGTGTTTGTTGATTGCGTGTCGCGATTTGCTGAACTCAATTGTAGCTATTAATTTTTAAACAAAAGTGTCAAAAGACCGCGATGTGAATACATAATTAATAAACAATTAATAAAAAATACATAATAATTAAAAAACCTTATCAATCTTGATTTTAATGCTTAAATACATATTTTGATGTACATAGAATCAGTTCTACAACTATGCGCTGGAATTATTTTCAGTCCTAAAACGTAATCTTGAACCGAACTGGAGTAGTAATACCACAAACTAATTGCCAAGTAGTTTAATAATATTGATACTAATAGGTATCCTAAACAACTGTAAATAATTTGATGCTAATAAGCATTTGAAAAAGCTGTAAATAATTTAGCATTAAATTAACATTGAATTATTTACGCTGCTATTTACGCTTATTAGCAATATTATTAAATTAACTGGCAATTTAATTTGTAGTGTTACTATCC